CCATTCTCTGATTCTACCTACCTGCAGAACTCTGCTGCTGCTGGCCTTGTGCTTGAAGTCACTTTTTCAGCTTTCCAGAGCAGCTTGGAAATTCTGAATGTGACTCGTAGCTCTGGACACTGTTAACCACCTCTGGGTTTATCCCTGTAGTACCTGGAGCTGAGGGACTTGTTCTAACTTTGCTTCCTTCCTTTTCTCTTTAAGCCATTTTTTAATGCAGATTCACCTACTGGTGGGCACTGAAACCTTGGAGAAAGGCTGAGGCTGTTCAGGCAGCAGCTGGCAGTTTACTGCACTGGGTGGCATTGAGCAGTTTGTTGCACTAGATGCCACTGAGCAGAGGCATTTGCCAGCAGAGCTTGCTGGACCAGCTCTCTCCCAGGGGCTCTGCATGCCAGGAGCTGTGTGTCCTCCCAGGCTTTGCTTTGGCTGCTGGAGCAGGGCTTTGATTTGTGAGCTCCTTCAGCCCCTAGTAACTCCACCTGGCTAAGCACAAGGTTTGCTCTTCCTTAATGCTCTCCTCTCTTCTAGGAATTGAATCTCTTCTGTGGTTCTATTCTATGAGTCTCAGCCATCCCATTGTCTTCTTGGTAGCTGAGTCCATGTTTTCTTTCATTTTCCCCTGGCACTCACCCACCAGCTCTTGCCCATGGTTGCTTTGCCCTGTGGGTCTGAAAAAACAATTTAGGAAAACACTCTGCTCTTCCCAGCTGAGCAGAAGCATTGAAGAAGGGCAGAAATTCTTGTCCTGCTGCTGCCTTGGTCATGTCTTGTTTTCTGAAGAGATAGGTGTTTAGAAAATAGCAAGGTATCACTCACAGTCTTAAAAGAAGGATCATTTCCAACAAGAAGAGTTCCTTCTGTTCATATTACTCTTATCTGGGGAACTCTTGTGTTATCTTGAAAGAGTTATACCTATAAGTAAGTAATTAATGTCTTTATAACAGTGATTTAGACCCATTCTTCCATAGTCTAAAAGACCTCCTGCAGCACTTCCCAGTCTTGTCACAAGTCTCTGCTGATGGTTTTGTTTATTGTTTGTTTGGGGTTTTTTTAAACTCACTCTTCCAACTTTAAAATGGTTTTCAGCTCCACCTCTGCTGTCACCTGATTTTAAAGATACTCCACTTCATTTTAAGGGTCAGTTTGCTTATTTAATTTGAAATGTTTCAAACAACACAGCAGCATTTCCCTCTGCACCAAGCAGCTGCTCTCTGGGGAGGTTTGGTTTTGGGTGGAAGCCTCTCAGATGTCTGCTGTAGGACAGGCACTATGAGGCATGTGTAACTCATCCCCAAAGCAGAACTTCAGAGTTCTGCTTTCAAGTGTATGTGGTGAGAGTTTCTATGCTTTTTAAGGGCATACATCATAAAGCCAAAAATTTCCACGGGTGGCACTTCCACTTGGGGCTAATGTGGGGGTAGATGGGGACCAAGTTGCACTGGCAAAGCTCTGCTGGGGCAGGCTGGTATTAGCTGGCATTTGGGCATCTGCACCCACTGCTCCCGTGGGTGATGTGACTTGCACATCCCTCTGCTCCATGCCACAGTTGCTCTTCTGTTCATTCCTCTTCCAAATTCTCCAGAAGGTTCCCAGCATTGTTGCTGCAGTTGTGTGTTCCTCAGCTTGTCACAGAAGAGCAGTGGGGACAGCTCACCTCACAGAAAGTCACATTAGTGGTTGGACTGGCTGATATAAATCATCTGATGCTTGAAACTGTTGGTGTGGCTTTGGGTCAGTCCTTTAGGGAGGTCATCAGAAAAGGAGAATCTGACCTGCTTTGTTCCAAGGAGAGGAGAGAATGCTGCTGGCTAAAGGGAACAAGGGAGCATCTGTTAAGAACAAAGGGTCTAGTTAAGGAAAGGTGAAATTTTCTGGCCTTGATGGATTAGAAAATGAAGTTTTCTGGCCTTGATGGATGAGAAAATGTCCCCAACTCCTCAAGAGGACACTGCCACTGTCCTCTGCCTGGGAGAGCCTGCCTCAGAGCTGTGGGAAAATTGTGAGGTTGGTATAGAAGGTTCCTGTGACACGGTGCCTTTAAATACACCCTGGGCATATTTAAAGCACGTCCACGTTGTGTGCAATAGCCTAGGAATATTTTTGCTCAGTACTAGTTCATCTGCCCCCATCGTTGCTGTCTGCCTGCTGGACATCTGTTGGTTTGTTTTAATGGTGGACATGACATCCATTAGTCCTCAAAAAACAATCCCCCAGCACAAGTGCCCAAGCGTGCCTCTACTTCAGCCCAAGAATAAACACATCCCACACATCTGAATTCTCCCACTGATCCCAGTGGGACAGTTCCATGAATGACATTGCCCACGTGCTCCTGTGCTGACTCTTCTGCTGCAAGCAGTCTAGGGGATGAGAGCACAGCTCCTAAAAGCCATGCATGTGTTTTTAATAACGTTTTGCTTTTGTGAAAACGTTGAGTCATTTATTCTGAACCTTACTGCAGGATCATTCCTGAATCCCCTCGGTGGCTGATCTCCCAGGGAAGATATAAGGAGGCAGAAGTTATTATCCGAAAGGCTGCAAAAATAAATGGTGTTCCAGCCCCAGATGTGCTTTTTGACATCGGAGAGGTATGTTTTATATGTCCTGGTACTTCACCTGGCTGGCAGTCTCCCCCCTTTGGCCAGGTGACTTGTTGGGGGATGCCAGCAGGGAAGGGGTTTGCACCAGCAGCTCTTGGTGGCTGGTGTGAGGTAAGTGCCAGGTTAACAACTTTAAAGAGAGAAGCCCGGGGTGGGGGGTTATTTCTTTGGTTTTCACAGTGAAATTCTCTTCCTCAGCAGTGGTTGGTTGTGGTTTTCAGAGCAAGGGTGACCCAGATTGCTTCACCCTCTGGGCGCCGAGGAGCAGCGTTGGCGCGGCGTTGGCGACATGCGGTTTAACGGCTGCCCTTCTGGGGGGGGGCTGTGCAGGGCACCCCCCATCTGCACCCACGTGTGCCAGGGCTGTGTGGACCCCCGAGGGACAACGCAGGCTGCACAAACCAGCCAAGGCACCCCAGTGCTGCAGGGGCACCTGAAAGCCATGGTGGAAGCAGGGGTGGTGAAGAACACCAAGCTCTTCTTCAGGCGTGTTTTTTAATGCGTTTCCTACTCCTTGGTTAAAAGGATTCAGCCTAGCCCCACCCCAGCACCCCAGCAAGCCGTGGTGGGACGGCTGGTTCTTGTGCTCAGCTCCCCCTCTAGTGGCCCTGATCTTGTCTGCTGAAGAGGCAGAGACGTTTTTCTTGCACAAAGAAGCCAGCAACGCTTCCAGCCTTGCTCAGCAGTGACCGTGTGGCCGTGTGTCGGACCTTCCTCTGCTGCTTTACTCTGGCACCTCTGTTTTAGGCTTCCTGGTAGAGCAGAAAGCAAAAGCACCACGTGCTCCTTTGCAGTATCTGCAGGAGAGAGCTGCTGTGTGGGCAGGATCCATCCCTTGAATGTCATGGTTACATTTTTGGCTGAGCTGCTGAAGATTTCTTCTCCAAGTGGATGAATTGAAGTGCGTGTTTCAGCTACGGGAAGCTCGTCCTACAGAACCCATGGATAAAGCACTTTCCTTACTTCACAGCCAGTGTTCAGATGTTTTTCACACTGGACAAGACCTTTCCAGGCTCCAGCACATGAGTTTGCTTTTCATCACTTGTGCCTGTTTTTGAGATCAAGCAGCAGCTCAGTCGTCCTCTCCTTCGTGGGCATCTTCTCTGCCAGAGTCCGTCCACGAAAGCCTGAGGATGATGTTTGCACATTGAGCCCTCTGATGGAAGAATTTCTGAGATGTTGCTACAAAGGCATTCCTCAGAGACCCCTCGTCTTCCTAGGAGAGGAAATGTCCTGCGTGGCCCCATGGGGAGGACCAGGGTGGGTTGCTCTTGGGGTGATGCCTGGCCACGAGCACTGGCTTTGCCCTGGTGAGAGCTGCCCGTGCAGGGAGAAGGGCACCCTAATGCCACCCAGAAGATTCCTTCTTCAAGCCTCAAACTGGACCCTCCATCTCTGATCCGGGGTGGTGGGTGCTCCTGTGATGAGCTCTGGCAGCCTTCCCCCTCCCCAGCAGGGTGCCAGCAGGCAGCAAAACTGGGGGATTTTCTGCCTTTATTTTACATTCTTTGTGAAGGCTGAACAGAAGAGAGCTGCGTGGACAGAGCACAGAAAAACACCTCTGGTAATGAGGTTCCTCCTGGAAGCACCACGTTAGATCCTTAAGGAAATGCTAATGCATCTTTCTTGACAGCCAAGACGCCTCTTCAATGAGTCAGCATCACACAGTGGTCTCAGTGCTACCTTTTTTTCACCAAAAAAAACCCCTGGAAACTGCCAGGAGTCCAGCTGGGTGCAGAGAGAAGCTCCACCCAAGGACTGCCCTCCCTGGTGCAGAAGTGGCCTTTGGGCTGAGCGGTTACCCCTGATAGAGTCGTAACTTCCTAACTGCCCAAACTTGTGGGTGTGCAGAGGTTGTTTTGCTCTTAGGTGTGTGGGAATTTTTTTGGTTTTGTTTTCCTTTTTCCTTCAGATGGAGGATTGGAAGCCTCAGCAGCAGCAGAAGGCTATCCTTCTGGACCTATTTCGAACCCGAAACATTGCAACTATTACTATTATGTCATTACTTTTGTGGTAAGGAAATGTGTATTCCTAAAGTCCCCAGGCAATAGAGCAGTTTGTGATTTGAGGGCACGTGCCACAGGTTTAGATAATAAGTCTCAGCCTCGGAGCCCATCCTTGCATTGATAGACACGAGTATGGAGCCAGTAGCCTCGACTCTGATGTAAAATAGTTAGGAAACTATATGTAACAACTCCTGTATTTTAAATTCTGTTGCTTTTTTTGTTTTGTTTTGTCCTAAAGAAGCTCTCTGTAATCTCTGTTTGAAGAGAAATGTCCTTCCTGAAGCAGAGGCAGCAACTCAGTAACATAACAAGAAGCAGACCCGTGGCCAGCGTTTTTGTTCTGTTTCTGTCCACTGCCCATCTCAGTGAGATCCTGGGCAGCCACGAGGAATGAGGACCCAATAATACCATAGAGACAAACCAGGACCCTTTTCTGTCCATATTTCCCCCAGCAGAAAGGAACTGGCTATAGCCCACTTGGCGTGCCATAGTGAGGCACTCTTGAGATGTGACACGTGAACATCCAGCTCTCTCGTGAAGATTAAATAAGATGTAACGGAACTGCTGAGGGTGGGAGAAACTGTCACTGGAGTTGGCTACCAGTAGGAATTTAGCTGGCGTGGGAAGTTTTCAGGAGTTGTTGTGCCATTAATGAGTCCATTGCAGTGAAAAGCCTTTGTGAATGTCTTCCACAAAGCCTTTGGCTTGGCGTAGGAAGGACAGAGAAGTCAGAGGTCTCTTCAAGCCGCTGTGGATACGGTCACTGTGAAGGGCTGACAGAATTAGAAAGATGGGGTTGCCACTGAGATTTGTTTATTTTTTTTGAAGCCACAATGCCTGTGGCCACGCTTTGAGACATTCTCTTTCTGTAACAACATCTGAGGCAACACTGGAGGCGTTCAGAGACCGGTGTTTCTGGAATAATTGGGGTTTATGGCTTTTCTCAGGTTTTTCACGTCCGTTGGTTACTTCGGCCTGTCCCTCAGCACTCCAAACTGGCATGGCAATGCTTATTTCAACTGTTTCCTCTCAGCTGTCATTGAAGTTCCAGCTTATGTGATTGCCTGGCTTCTCCTCCGCTACCTCCCTCGGCGCTACTCCTTATCTGGCACCTTCTTTTTAGGGGGAGGTGTCGTCCTCTTCATTCAGCTGGTTCCTGCAGGTACAAGATTCAAAGTCTATCCAACGTTAGAAATATTTTTCTGGGACTGTCTAATGGTTTTCTAAAATGACTAGAAAAGGAGACTCAAGTTTAGAATTTGAGGTCAGGTTTATGCTGAACGCTTGGAGCTGTGGGTTTTTTTTTTTCTCCCCAATGTTCATGCCTATGCTGAGTCATGTGCAGCTCCCATTTATTGTGTCAAATTACTGAGCTTTTTATAGTGCAGGGGAACCAGCTCGTAAAAGGAGAGCCAAAAGTGAACTGTTATTTACCTGGTTGTGCCTAGAGGCTAAAAAAAGCCTCAAGTCGTCCAGATTTCACTGTGTAAATCTCCACAGGATACTGCAAAAAAACGGGTGGATTTAAGCTTGTGCTTTGCTGTGTAATCCAGAGGGGTTTTCCATTTCAAGAATGCTGTTTTACTGGGAGAGAACCAACATGGGAAAAGTTGAGAATAACTGGAGCACCTACATTATGTGAGGCCCCATCCCTGGGGGTCTTTAAGGCCAGGCTGGAGGAGGCTCTGGGCAGCCTGATCTAGTGGGAGGTGTCCCTGCTCATGGCAGAGGGGTTGGAACTGGGGGATCCTTGTGGTCCCTTCCAACCCTGACTGATTCTGATCTGTTTTAGCAGAGGACTTAGTAGTGTTGGACTTGATGATCTTAAAGGTCTCTTCTAACCTAAAGGATTCTATGATTCTATGTTCAGTGGGAAGTTTGGAGCCAGGATGGGGCTGAGACATTGGATAATTAAAAACCAAACCAAAACACACACAACTTCCAGAAAAAAACCCAAAAAAACCTGATGATACAGTCAGCATGTCAAAGAAATACAAGTAATCAGCACAGAGGGCTGTTTATTCACCTTGATTTTTGTTGGTGTTATTTTTTCTCCTCCAGATTTTAACGTCCTGTCTGTTGTCCTGGTGATGCTTGGAAAGTTTGGCATCACGGCGGCGTTTTCCATGCTGTACGTCTACAACGTGGAGCTGTACCCCACCCTGGTGAGGAACATGGCAGTCGGTGCCACCTCCACGGCCTCCAGGCTGGGCAGCATCATCGCTCCTTACTTCGTTTACCTGGGTGAGAGACCTTGTGTCCCTTGCCTTGCCTGCCCAGAGAAGTTCTGGGAGCTTCTGCGGCGCAGGGTCGGCCTGAAGCTCCTGCCTTTGGTGTCTTTCAAGTCCCTTCTCTCATCACTCTAGAAATGATGGGGAGTTCCTTGGGTGTTGGAGAAGAATTGGCCATATTTTTCCTTTAGTGAAGCTATGGACTGTTGATACAGCCTCAGAGTGGGTCCCAGCCAGCCAGCACAGTGGTGGTGTTTATAAACCATGCAAGCAAGAGTTGTTGGGATGATAATTGGTCATATCTTGGCTGTGGTGATACCCCTGGGTTAGTTTCCCAGGAAAGCATGAGAAATGATCTTGTGAGTAAAGGCATCTAGCAGTAGGAAACTCATTGCATGGTGCTCCTCAAGCACATCCCAAGATGGGTCTGTCTGGAGCAATGAACCAGGGGGAAACCCAAACATCCCCTGAGTCCTTGCTCTCTAAAGCAATATGTGAAAACCACAGAGACCAGGCAGCACAGGAGTGTTTCACTGAGACCTTCATGAAGTGATATTTTAATTTATTTTTTCTTTTTTAGTTACTAAACCAGGCACTTCAGTGTTCATTTTTGCTTTTTCTTATTGCTCATGCCTTGTTCTGTGGCAGAATTACTGATTTCTTCACAGGCTTTTGGTTGACACCCATTGCCATCACATGCTGAATGCTGCACAACTATTAATTCATAAATCTTTATTCTTATTTTTTTCAGTACATGGAAATGATTCTTATGTTGCAGAGAGGAAAGGGTGACAGAGATCAGGGGATTAAGGGAGGAAGTCTGTGTGAATGCTGGCTGCTCAGCTCGGGGTGCTCACTTTCCTATTTCTTTCCCATGATTTATTTCCTTCTGCCATCCCTGGACCCATCTCAGCTCTCCCCTGCACCTAATGAGTTTTGCTTCCTTGGAAACAAAACCAGGGTGACTTTGCCAACTGGCAGAACGTTGCTGGTGTGGCACCAAGGGGTTAACACTGGTTCCCTGTGCCAGGGAAGGGGAGAGGACTCTGTAGCTCATCTGTGCTGTCTCACCTCTACATTCCCACCTGACTGTAACACACTGTACCAAAAATGATGAAAATACATTGTCTTTATTTTGTTCCAGTCATCAGAATAGTATTACTAAACTTTAGGAGGTTTTAGGAGAAAGTTTCAGCTGCTGATACTTGCTCCAGCTAAATTAGGACTTCACAGTTCATCCAGCTCATGAACAGAGAAGAGATCAAATCACAAACGTTGGCTCTGTGTGAAATACTCACAGCTCTTCACTTTAATCCGAGTTTATTTCATATATTATAAAGCCTACTGCTCTGTCCCAGCTAGAAAATAAAGCTGTCAAGTCCAGTTTGGTCCTTTCTCTACCTTAAACACTTTAACTCCTAGCTAATCCCTTTACTAAAGACCTTTTTCCTTGCTGGGCTGTTGTGACCTGAAGCTCTCGCATCTCACCCCAGCACTTGTGCTCTGGCTTCAGGCTGCTGGCAGGGGCTGCTGCCTTCTAGTCCAAAATAATATTCTGAGTAGACCAAGGTCACAGCTTCTTGCCTGCCACGGGAGGCCTGATCCTTCCTCCCTTTGCAGTAAGGAATTTAAGGATTCCCCTGTTGGTGGCTTGTTAATCTGAAACTGGTCTCTTCAGCTGCCCTCACTCTCCTCCCTGCTTGTGCACAACCCAGCTGATGAGCACTGGGTTGCTTATGAGCACTTTTATTCCCTCATATTGAATTATTTAATGGAGGATTTGGTTCCTGTTGACAGTGTAGGGCTGCAAGCTCCAGCAGAGCTGTTACCTTACAAAGATGCTGGTTATCCTGGTTGAAAATGTAGGAAAAAAAACCCCTTTTACCTGCTCCACAGATGTGGGGGACAGCATGAAACTGATGGCAGGTGGTGACCAAACTAGAGCATGTGTTGTCGTTTTAAAAGTGAAAAATCCCTTTGTCTGCTGGCAGGTGACAGATATAAACCAGTTTTGGGGATCACCTTTGAGATTTCTAAAGATTTCAGCTGCTTATTCCGAATTAATGCAATGGGATATAAATCCCACCCCTGGGGTTGCTGACTGGGGGCATTAAGCAGTGTGGTCGTGTCCTGTGTCCTGCCAGGTGCCTACGACAGGTTCCTGCCATATATCCTGATGGGAAGCCTGACTGTGCTGATTGGGATCCTGACCCTGTTCCTCCCGGAGAGCTACGGCAGCCCCCTGCCCGAGGCCTTTGAGCAGATGCTGAAGGTGAAGTGGTAAGGTGCCCATCACTCACCCCGTGCTCCACAACAACTCAAGACCTCTTTCTACATAGTCCCTTTACCAAACAAAACGTGTTTCATCAGACCTGCAAAGCATCAAAGCTTTCCAAGTGCCCCTTTAGATGGTTTTTGAGGTGGTTCATTTGACAGACGTTGGCATTATGAAGTTTCTGCAGAATCTCTGAACCCGAGAGCTGATCATAGAGTCATAGAATCCTTTAGGTTGGAAGGGACCTTTAAGATCATAGAATCATAGAATCATTCAGGTTGGAAGGGACCTCCAAGATCATCAAGTCCAACCATTGAGCCATTAGGGCTCTAAAGTCCTCTGCTAAAACAGATCAGAATCTGTCAGGGTTGGAAGGGACCACAAGGATCCCCCAGTTCCAACATGGGCTTGAAGGTCAGCCTTGCTTTGCAAGCACCCACTTCCACATCACCTTGGGGCTCTTGATTCCCATCTCCCAACACCTTCCACCCTTTTATAGCATTTGTCTTCCATAATCCCTCATTTAAACCATTTAGGAGGATGATTTATGTTACAAAATGCTTTACTCCTTCTGTGCAAGCTCATTAGGAACTCCTCCAAATTAAAGGTGGGATTTCAATATCCTAGCCTCCTTCATTTGAGAGGCCAGAGGGATGCCTGGGAAGCTTTTCTCCTGGTTGATTTGGTTTAGCTGTAAGCAGTAAGAGTTCTCTTGCCCCACCACCATTGCTGTTCAGGGGACCCTGAGCAAACATCTCCACTCAAATCCATGCAACGTAGGTTCTGGTGGTGCTGCAGTGGAGATGGGCAGTGCTGGGGAGTTACTGGTGTGGGAGGAAAAGTCTTGGGAGTGGCAGAGGGCAACTGAATTAGCCAAAGTGCAGCTTCACAGCTCCTGTTCAGCTTAGTGGGAATTTGTATGGGAACAGGCTTTACCCTTCTAAGCAGTAATAGCTTAATAAAGCTGGAATTGCCTGCATCTCATTCCTGGTCCCTGGAAGGAGCTGCTGTTGTGCTTCCAGGACAAGAATTCTCAGGCCAGAGAATCACAGGCCTTTTATCACAACCAGGGACTTCTCCTGTGTCTACCTTATGCCTTTTTGGCTTTATGGCTGGTGAGCTGTAGCCAGAAACCCTGGAGTCAAACCAGATTCCCTTTGCAGGTTTCTTGCATGAACAGGCTGAAGTAACTGAATTCCACTCACTGGGTGATGCTGAAGTCCCAGGTGCTGTTTGCTGCACTCCCTCTGCCCCGTGGAAAGGCAGACTTTACAGAGCAATCCATTTTTTCTAATGTTTAGATGAGTGAAGTGGTATTTTAGCAGTGCTCATTAGGAGGGAGAAGTGTCTGATGACATGCTGTAAAGTGTTCTCTAGCTTCTCAGGCTTTTCCTTGCTTTCAGTTTCAGAAACGGGCAACAAACCACTGGCATTAGGAATTCAAAGGAGAGTCCTAAAACTCTGGTAACCCCTTTGTGAAGAAGGATGCACACTCTGAGGGGCTGAAAGAAGAACAAGGTCTTCTCAAAATGCATTTTCTGCCAGAAGAAACCCAACAAAACCCACCACTCGATGCTCCTGCACCATAGTTGTTATCCCCTGTGCTGCTGTACCCCAATTCATAGCTGACTGAAGAGATGCTGTCTACTCCTCTAGGGCTCTTAGTCTGTAATTCAGTGTCCTGATACCTGTCAGCAGGCACAGACCCTGTTGAGAAATGGGGACCTGCCTGGGCTGGACATGATTGATGTGAGGAGTAAGCTAGAAATGAGCCTGAGGAATAATACAAGGACTCCAGTCAGGGTGTCAACAAAAGCTGCTTAAAAAAAGAAAGGAAAAAAAGATAGCAAATCTAACACTGGTGGTTTTTTCTCACTGTGTGTGTTGACTGGAGGAAGGGGAGCTGGGTGTCTGTCTTTGAACATCTCAGCACACACCCCTAAAGGAATGAGCCCAGCCTCCTCTGGAATCTGACCAAGTGGGATCAGAGTTCAGATGTGGACCTCACTGGAAGGATGTGGGTTTTAAACAAGACATCAGAGTATCTTCTGATGCTGCTTGCTCTTCCCAGGACCTGGGATCCACTTGTCCCTGTAAAAGCTGTCACTTTTTCAGAGCCTGAGCCCGCTGAAATCCTTGGGCTTGGTGAATATTCAGTGTCTCTGGGGAGGGGGAAGCCCTGAGCACAGACAGGATTAGAGCTTGCTGACCTTCTGAGGGGCCCTGCCCACTCTGCAAAGAACCTCAGTGATCCTCCCCAAACGTGCTTTCAGGTTTGTCATGGCAGTTTTTTAGCTATTTGGGTGGTTTTGTTGTTTGGGGTTTGGTTTTTTTTTTTCCAAAGCATTTAATTTCTCCTTTGAATATATCCTGTGTTGTTCTGTACCCTCAGAGAAAGCCCATTGTGGTTCCAAAAGCCTCTGCAAAACCTTTGCACCATTGACTGATGCAAAGGGGGTTTGATGCTCGCCAAAAGCTGATGTTCTGTACTGGGGATGTTCACCTGCAGCTGTTAGAAAGGCCAAAAAAAAGGCTAATTTGGGATTGCAGGCTTTTTCAAACCACCACCAAAAAGCCACCAAAGCCAGTGTTTTGGTTTTCAAATCCTACAGGTTAGGGATGTGGTTTTTTTTTAAGAGGCCAGCAAAGCTGATTGGATGGAAACTCAAAGGTAGAGCTTAGAGTTGTGCTACTACTGTTTTATGAACACTACAGAGTTTGACAAAGAATATACCTTTTATTTTTATATTTATTGGCTGTGCATGCACATCTTGGCCACATAAAGTCTCTCAGAGCTGGTAAACTGGTTTTTATCCTCTATAAATCATGATTAGCCATGATTCACCTTCTGTAAGGACCAACAAAATCACAATGTCTCATCTCTAGTGAGAGTTCGTGGCAAGTTGTCTTGCACTGGCACTTGTCACAGGGCTCTCCCTCTAAGTTCAAGCACAAATATAAAGCTTTATAACATTTAAATGCAAAGAACTCGTGCAATTATTTCAAGCTGCTCTCTGGGCTGCAGAAATACTATTATTTCCTTTTCTATTAATTTTCTGCAATTTATGCTTTGGCCATAAATGTGATGTGGCATGAGGCACCCATCATCCTGTGACCCCTGACGTTCTCATCCCTTCCTGAGCTGGAATTTCTGTAATAACACCAGTATTTAATCTTGGGTTTACTTAATGCAAAGTTCATCTTTAGAATAGCTGTTTAGACAGAATTAAATTTCACAACAAAAACCTTTAGAGCAGCACAGGAGAGGTTTGAGGACTTGGTTAAATATAGGTCGCCATATTTTAATGAAGATTTTTATATTCATGAGGTGATCATAGGCTTGGGCATTTCTAAAAGGTAAATATTTTTGTACTCTTGAACTTGGTAGGATCTTAAACCCTAGTTTTCCTTTTTTAAATGAGAAAATGTTGTGTTATTTTTTAAATACCTTGTTTTAATCAGTCATTTTTCATGCTTATACCATTGCTCTCCAGCTAGCGTCACATTTTAGTCTTTTTCATGGCAAATTAAAGCAAAATAACCTTTCACAAGAGTGGAACACCTTTCTGACAAGGGCATGATGTTCTCCTAAGGCCTTAAGGTGTCTGAGTGTAGTGAAAACGAGAGGAGGTGGCTTCAGCTTTTGCCAGGAGGCTCCAGTCCAGGGACAGGAGGGAAGCACCAGCTGGATCTTGGCCACTGGCCACAGGGGCCACCTCTGTCACCTCTGTCACCTCTGTCACGTTTCCTCGAGTCTCCCTGTGCAGCCTTTGATCCTCAGCTGGCTTTATGGACCTGCTAAAGCATATATGAAACTGTAGGAATTGTCACTCATTAACTTTTGTCTCCTCTGTAATCAAAACGTGCCCTGGCATTGCTTAACCTGCTCCCCGTGTGGATTGGGACTGAAGAAGGAAGTCTCCTGACTTTTAACACGTTGTGCAAAGATGTTTAAAGAAGTAATTTAAAATGTATTTAGCGGGGGTAAAGTATGAAAATAAAACCCTAAAATAAGCTCTTCCACACAAGAAGGATTTTATGGTGTAGTACAGTTTTTTTCTGGCTTTCAGATGGTTCAATCCCAGAATGGTTTGGGTTGGAAGGGACCTGAAATATCATCTCCTTCCATCCCCCTGCCAAGGGCAGGGACACCTCCCCCTAGACCAGGCTGTTCAAAGTCCCATCCAACCTGGCCTTGAACATTTCCAGGGGTGGGGCATTCACAGCTTCCCTGGGCAACCTGTGCCAGAGTCTCACCACCCTCATAGTGACCTTCTTCCTAATTTCTAATTTAAATCTGCCTTCTTCCAGTCAAAGCCATTACCCCTTAGTCCTATCACTACAAGCCCTTGTAGAGAGTCCCTCCCCAGCTTTCTTGTAGGCCCCCTTCAGACACTGGAAAGCTGCAATAAGGTCTCTCCAGGCTGAGCAACCCCAATTCTCTCAGCCTGGCCTCACAGAAGAGAGGTTCCAGTTCTTGGATTATTTCTGTGGCCTCCTCAGGACCCTGCTCCAAAAGGTCCATGTCTTTCTTGTGTTGGAGGATCCTGACTCTTCAACCCTACAAAGCCCCTGACACAGACCCCAGCCAGGCTCAATGATGATTTTGAGGTTTAACTTTTGTCATTTCATTTCCCACCTTTGAGCTTTTTCACAGCTGTGCGATTCCAACGTGGAACAAAAGCTCCTTTTAAATACAAGCATTCAGAAATCCTGCAAAAGTACCTTGACTTTTATCAATTACAAGTGGAGAAAATATCAGGAAAAAAAAAAGTCAGTTGGAAATGTGACTTAGCTTAATATCTGTATTTCTGAGCTCTATGGGAGATGTGATTTTCCTGACAGCACCACTAGGTAATGAGCTGGGATTTTTGGTCAAACAACAGAATATTATTTATTATATTTATTATTTGTCAAACATAGTACATGCTCTCTCAGAAAATAGCGTCATGGTCAAAACCCTTTTACAGCCATAGGTGACCCTGCTGAAGGGACGATGGCAGCTGGGGGAAGGTGCTGACAAGGAGAGGAACCATTTCAGGCTTGAACTTGCAGAGAGCTCCTTCCTTTGATCACACCATGAGCAAAACTATGGGTGATGGCTCTTGGCTCGTGCGTGGTCATGACCATACCAAGGTCCTACCACAGAACCCTGGGCTGGTTCACCTCTAAGGTGTCGCAAAGCCCCCAGGATTGCAGGCAGCTGAATAACGATTCAATTCATCTCAAGCCCCACTGAGCCCTTCAAGCAGTGAATAATGGACCTGATGCCGATATTAATGAGCTGCTTCTGGCAAGGAGTCCCCAGAGGGCAGGGGACACGACACTCAGCCGGGCCTGGGCACCTCGCAGGGAGAGGGAAAGCAGCCCCGAGCCCGGGCAACGCTCGCCGCGGGCCCGCTGCCCTGCTGGGCCGGGCAGGGA